TGGCTCTGTGTGAATTATCCAAGAATGTTATTATTATATAACATTAATCCTAGAATTTAACATTTCATTCACAACAACAAAGAAACATTAATCTTGGCAACACATTCTATCTCTATTACATAACCCTGTTAGCTATTTCAGTTAAAAATAGGAACTGCGGATATGTAGGTAAGTTGGTATTTAAATTTACTTTATCTCTCAGAAAACTACGAGAGAAATAACTTGAATATTATATTGAACGTGTCTAACAGTATGACATGTGAAACCTTCCAGCTGAACACTGCATGTTTCATAAACATGAGACCTTGTACAATATCCATGTATACAATATTTATTTATTTAGTGATGTAAAAAATAATAATAACCCAAGGAAGATTTTTTTTATAGACTGTTTTGGCTCAGTACTAAATGAGTTAAGCTAAGCAGAACTTGTGCTATGAGTACTGGACAACTTATAGATATAAGATATATTTTTAGTAAATACATTTACATAGAAAACACCGATCAATACAAACAGTTATACTTATGAATACAAAGGTTACTACCGTGCGCGGAATCGAACCCATGACTATCAAAAGCAAAGCTCTGAACTAAATCGCTAGAGCACCGAGGCCGTTTGGATGTATAACTAAAATATTTTTATGGTCATGAATTGAAATATGGTTTTTTTCTTCCCCAGATACGGGAAGAACGAGAGAATAATGTATACAGACTTCAGGAAAAACAATAATATAATGGTTCGATTCTTTTAATAAACTTATTTTACTTAACTACTATACTAAATATAGATTGTTTGTTATTATATGATGACTTTGGTCCTTGAATATTGTTATATAAAGCTGTACAATAAATATAGTTATTGTAAGCTTTATTAAAATAACAGATTATTACTATATAATAAACATTGTTAGAATTTTTGTCAGTCAGTCTCTGCGTGTATGCGCGATATCACAAAACCTTAACCGATTTGGTTATTCTTTTTACTAATACCACTGATAACATACATTACACACTAATACTGTAATAGGCTACACTTAAATTTTCTGTTTGTTTTATTTCAATCAGTTTACAAACAACACAAACTTATGCCGGTCGAAGACCCAAAAGAAACCAATTTATAAATATAACTACGTTCATTTTAAAATTACTTATATATAACTGTGTGTATTCTGATCCTTGTTCGATCAAGAAGTGTTTCTATATCACTTTCAAAGTAAATGTAATGAGAGATATTACTACTACGCATTAGATTTAGATTGATTACTGACTTGATGCAGGTATTTTTCCCAATAACCATCTTTTTTGCGTCACACGTTGGGTGGTCCTATCCGATCGACGTTGCATTATGTGAAGATATATCGCAAATCACAATACATCTTATGGTTGTAATGTAATAAGCATAAAGTCGTGTGCTTAGCTAGTGCAAACTATAATAAATATGTGCCCTTGTAGTAAATACTAACAACAAATGCTATTTGCAGGAAGACATATTACTACAAGCATTAAGGAATATTAAAGAAAGCAATAACGATAAAAGGTATTTTAAAAATTGGACAATTGATATTTTTCCCTAAATTGTTTTTAAGTAATTAAAATAAAAACAAATGTATGTATTACAGTAATTCTCCTGTGGTAAGTCTATATGCAGATTATTATTAATTAAAAAAAAATACGAATTGTAACGTTTTACGTTATCCATCGAGCAAAATATTTGCATTTATGAACTTGGAATGATCCACCTACCAGTGTTAACGATATAATCTGACCATCAGTGAAGAAAGATAAACGTGAAGTCATGATCTTATTATGATCTAAAAGTTAGAAATGTTACATTTATAACATCTTGCAGCATCTTTCTATATCATTTTCTGCAGATTTATAAAGAAGGACAATGATGAGATGAGATCCATTTACGAATGTAAATGGATTATTTTACGTTTATTCTACGACTATAATGTTTTATAATATATTAACCTCCAGTTTATAACCAGTGCTCACAATATTGGGTTCAGGCCGGACAGCCCGTTTCAACGAATTTCTATTGACGCTTATCCCCGTAGTGGCAACGAATTGTGGTCACTCAAAAACGTCGTCGGCTCGTTTTGTCCGACTTTTATCGGAAATAAAATATGTTGAGGCGCTTAACGTGTCTTTGAGCTCATTAATAAACAATTATTTTAAAACAAAGTTCGTATTTTGAAATTTACACATTTATAATTTTGTACCTATTAAAACCTCTTCTGTTGGATTTGTTTACCATAAAATATTGCTTTTTATTTTTCTAAGTCGATGTAAGTGGCTTATTAGAAATGTACAGGTGATTTTATATATTTGACTTTAAGCTGTTTTTTTTGCTAATAAATAATAAATATTTCTTTTACAGACAGTGATTGAAATAGAACCTGTATTTGAGAATGAATAGTAAGTTTCTAACGATAAATATGCTTATTTCTAGTACAGAATAAATATTTCTTAAATAATCTCTGGTAACAGACGTTAAGGTCTGTCATTTAAAATGCCAAACAAGCTGAAGACTAATTAAGTACTATCAAAACAAAAGGATGCATAACCTAATCCCTTCGGAACCCGTCTCATTATACAGTTAAGTACATGTTTTTAAATATGAAACAATAAATTATTAATCGTTCATAACAAACAGTAAAAATCTGCAACAAAACAAAATGTCGTGTATTCACTTAATTTGACTTCCATACATACTCTCGTTCATCATCCTACTTTGACCTTTATTGTTGTTAAAATCTCTTGAACAAAAATAAAATTGTTCTCGTATCGAACACTAAAAATCTCGTATTTTACGAGGATCGAAATAGGATGCCTGACGATTCTAAATAAAAATATCACTGTTCACACTACCCTCACAGTTCACACCCACGAGTTCGTTAATATCAAGTTCTAAAGGTCTAAAAATATCTCTTTACGCGAATCGTAATATAGGATAGAAATAGTCCGACTTGCGACTAACGGCAGACTGCTGTCAAAACAGTTTTTGGATAAAATTTTACCGATTTGTTTTTTTTTTATAGTATAGTAGAATCTACTAAGAATATATTGGTAAGCATAGATATACGTTTCAGAATTGTATAAAGTAATATATATTGACATCTGTATTTTTCTTAAACCACAAAAATTCAACTAGGAATAATTAGATTAATTTCAAGAAGGGTATATTAAGGTTTCTTATGGGTCGGCAACACGCACGTGATACCCCTGGTGTTCAGGTGTCCATAGGCTACAGTAACCATTTACCATCAGATGGACCGTATGCTTGTTTGCCACCATCATAGTATAAAAAAAACTAGTGTAAAGTACTTTATTTACATACTAACTAAACCATTTATTTGTGAAGATCCTACAAATAAGTTTGATCAATGAAGCGATATATTGTGTAGTGGGTAGACCTTTACTTACGACTACTAATCTTAAAAGAAGTATATTATTTACTAAACTAATATTTGCATTGCACCTACAACCTAATAACAGTATATGTACACGTTATGATTTTTTAACGTAGAAATTAATTTTTCCACATATTTTTATATCTCTATTATCTATCCTTATACCCAAATATTTAAGCAGCTGTAGTTTTAAAGATGATAATTAAACAACCGCCTATGCTAAACATATACGCTAGCGGAACACCAGTGGGTATAAAGTCAGTTAAGTTAGTACAACGTGGCAAATTCACCATAAATTTATCACGATGATTTCCAAGGGGAACAGCGTGGAGGTCAAACTGACATGGTACCTTGCTAGTATTGGGTTAATTGCTCCACATTAATAACAATTCCCTGCCCCTCAATAAGCGACGGTTACCACTTACCATTAGGTGGAACCATAATCTTCTTTGTCATTCTAGTAACATGAAACAATTTACTAGGCACAATAAGTAGTATAGCGAATAATAAACATTTAGTGATGAAAAAGTCGTTGTGTTTCAGATGCCCTAAAAACACTATCTTATACTTATATTTCATAATACGCCTCCATTGGCTCCCGCGGGAAATCATTGTTAGATACAGTCATTATTATTATAATCATTAATCATGGGTTGGTAATTTTATTGTTTTGACATAATATTTGTTCTTTTCTTTATTATATCTACTAGTAGTATTCTAATAAATATTCAAGTTGGTTATGGTTTGTATATGAATATTGCACTTATACGGATAAACAGAAATACATATTTTGAACATTCGATAGTTGTAAATTTATTTATTTAAGCAGTCATTATTATAAATGGTAGATAAATTAATTACTTTATATATTTGCATAATATGGATAACAATATTTTGAAGTAAATTTTTGCCAGTTGGTAATTTTGATGTAATTTATCAATTTGTACTAACTATAATGTACTTCTAACAATGTACATTTTTATTTCTAGAGTAATTTTAGTGCTCATTAACTTTTTATTTCTTTATATTAAACATTCTGTATTAGACATGTAAGTATAATTATATATTTTAATAAGCATAATCAGTCATTATTATAAAATGTAGATAAATAAATTACTTTATATATTTGCATAATATGGATAACAATATTTTGCAGTAAATTTTTGCCAGTTGGTAATTTTGATGTAATTTATCAATTTGTACTAACTATAATATACTTATGACAATCTACATTGTTTTAATATCTACAATAATTTTAATGCTCATTAACTTTCTATTTCTTTATATTAAACATTATGTATCAGATATATAAGTATAATTATATATTTTAATAAACAGAACTATTTATTTCATGACTTTTTATCATTATGTTCTTAAAATTAAATTAAAATATGAAAATGTTTATTTTATGCTTATGTTATCGTACTTTTTTTATTTTTGTATTTATGCATCTTACACTATTAGTGTTGAAGGGAGTCATCAATTACATTTTTTTTCGTCTTTCTAATGGTCTTAAAAAGCGACTCTTTTTACAGCTGCACCGAACGAATTTACTAAAATAAACCTTTTTAATATTCCAGACATCAGAAGAGGAAAATAATGCGAATGAAATATTACATCAGTAAGTATACTGAAAAGATCTTTTTATTGTAGGATTTATCTAAAATGTTTATTGTCTCATGTAGTTGAGGTATGAAATGAATGAAATAAAATTATTTATATGCGAAATATTAAAGCATTAGATAAGTTGTTACGTAATAATATTATTGATCAGCATTACCTACAGTATATGACAGTATTAATTTATGTCTAATGTTTTTGGACACTGCACTGTAGAAATTATTAGGCGACAGCTAATTTTTGAGTTTGCGTTTAAACAATGTATGAGATCTCAGTAGTATAAGGTATTGTCCACTATGAACATTATGATAAACACAACACTTGACATGGCCACATTTCACTGTATATATGAATCCAACATGGAATAATGAACTTAACACCACCTCTATTAATTGGGTTTGTTATATGTTTCCGACACCTAAAAGGCAGCAAAAAATATAGATTCACATAAAAATATTTTTTTATCGATCAGGTTTGAACCTTTTACGGCCCGATACGTCTAAGTAGGGTAGTAAACCTTATGTAATGAATTTATTAAATATTAGCATGACTTATAATTATTTTGTTCCTTTACAGCTCTTCATCTCTTGAAGAACTTATGGTTTGTTATTAAAATGTTTTTTTTTTGCTTCAAAAGTATCTTAAGAGCAATCGAACCAGCGACGATCGATAGTAAAGCAGCTACTATTGCACCTTTTTTTTAACGTCAGGAAAATCTTCATAAAAGCTCACCGGCTTAAGGGCCGGGCTTAGGGACTGCCGGATTCCTACAGGCTAAAAACCTGACGACAATTCTTCCTCGAACATATCGCTGGAGCCATAGGATCGCACATGCATTCTCCAAGACCACCGGCACGGTTAAAAGACGTGCCGGGAATAGATACCACCGACTATTCTCCCAAGCCTCGAACATATCGCCGGACTGGAAAACCCCTTGCCATAGTGCCGGGGTTATCGAAACATTCAACCGTGAACAGCGCGGGCTTCTCCAACACCACGACCACCGGCACGGTTCCCATCGACCTAGTCCAACCAATGCCACTTATTTTCTTTGTTTTTAAGTTTTGTTTTTGTATAAGCTCCAACCAGAAATCTTGTCCATTTTTTATGCTAAAGCAGGTTTACTAAAGTATATTTTTAATAATAAAAATTAGTTAATATTTAAACAAAGTTTATTTCGATATATGTATATTTTCTATCCCTTAATGCGAACACTTGTTCCAACTGAGAGTAGATAGTTCATAAAATATAATATAATTTCAAGTCGATTAGAAAATTCTTTATTCACATATATTTAAATTTAAGCATTTTTATTAAAGCATTTAAATTTAGTCATCGTTCGTATCGTAGTTCATCATTTATTTGGAAAGCTGTCACATTATAAGAAGAACGATCAAGAAACTTGCGTGTTGCTCTTTTAAATAATAGTTGTAACTTTACGTTAAAATGTGTGAATAAAAATTGATAACTCATTTTGTTCATTACCTTATCTTTGGTTTGTCATGAGCGGAGTATAGCTGCTTTTATTTCAAAGGGCCGTAATACTCATAATTTTATCATCAGCTAAAGTGCTATCTCACTAATCTCTATTAAAAAGGGTGGCGATTTAAGAAGAAGAAATAGAAAACATAAGAAAACAGATAGAAATAGATTGACTAAATATGGCACATCGAGTGGTACATCTAGTGCCAGTAGCGCCAGTGAATCGATGTCATCCGAATCGTCTGACTTCGAGAAGAACCCCGGTAATCCTTTCACGATACACAAGGAGAAGTATAAGCAAAATTGGCTATGGAATCATAAAGTAAGTTTAAAGAATAATATCTTGATATGTATATATATCTATAGCAGTTTCCAGGGGTGGTTTCCAGTGGTCAGAGAATGTCGACATTCCGGAAAAAAAACTATTTTAAATAATAATAATAATAATAACCGTGGAAAATATTCACAATGCCACCTAGTCCCGAGCCAAGCAGCTTGGGTTATGAGGTAGGTAGGTAACGGAGAAATAAATGAATACATTTTTATATAGGTACGGAACGAAATTGCTAGTAATGTCCCAGGTCAGGATGACCGCCACGCGGTTCCCCCTGGAAACCATCGTGATAAATTAATTATGAATTTTCCACGATGGGCTAACTAACCTGATCTCATACTCATCTTATTATCCTCCACTGGTGCCTTACGCACGTAAACCGTTAGCGCAGGCGGGTGAACTATTCCATTATCATACATTAGAAAAAAATATATACATAGTAAACAACCAAACTAACACAAACAATCATTTTCATCAATACAAATATTTGTACCCAGTAAAAAAGGTGCAAGGAATCAAACCCACGACCATTAAAAGTAGGGTGGTGTTGTGTTGTTAAACATGTGGTTAAACCGCTAGACCACTGAATTCGTCGAAAATAGGAAATAGGAATAACGAAAATAAGATATTTTGAGTCACAAAAAAGGCTATAATATTTCTTGATAGGTGGTTTGTAATATAAATATTTTCATCACTATATACCGTACAGATTTACACTTAGATGAATAAATTTCATACCCATGTAGCTTGCAAGAGAAATGTGCTATATTTTCATGATAAATGAAGTCTCAAGTGAGATTCTCGACCGATCCAATTTGTAAAACCAACTGTTATGGAACATTGGTTTGGATTTAGAAATTCTATATTACATATTTTAATATTAATATTCAGATTTTTCATAAGACATATAACATTTTTTGGTGTCCAACATCTTATAATACAACATGTGTCTTATGATATAACAATTATGATACATCATTTTACAGCAAATGCTTGTTGTCCGGTTTTTTTAACAAGATATCAAGACTGCAAATGTTTGTTGTATAGCGTCTCATGATGTAATGTAACAACAAATATTTGTTGACTGATTTGTCGTAATAATGTTACATGTACCTTTTTAGATGGACGGTGATCATATGAATGTAAATCCTTTTGCGCCTGAATTTAACAGTGTTGGTCCTTCTGGAGCGGATTTATTCTTTAACAGAAAATGGTGGTATTATAATCAGGTAAAGTATATAATTTTTTTCGAAATACCTTAACACTGTTGGCAGCTGCTGGCCTTTACAGCTTCACCGGACGATAGAGGGCGAGTTCAGATAGCAATACAAACTCGTGAAAGGACTTATGGAGCGGCTGAAGGCCAACTCTCGCCTGGCGGATACGACTTTTTTCTACAACTAGGGGTTCGAACCTCGGCTCAGGCCATCCTAATTTCGATTCCCGTTTGGATTGGACGGGGGATCGATCAGAGGGGGTAAAGTATAAATATCTAAAGTTAATTATATGTCGTAAAAGTAGACGAAATTATAATATTTTACAGTGGCCACCAATATGCCTTATAAAATTATTAAAGAAGTATTTCAGTCTATAAACGAATTGGTCCTTTTTGTTATTATATTTTTTCAAGAACAATTTAAAATAGATCACTATGATTCGTTGTTATTATATTTTTACTCGTTTCTTATTTCAGGACGACTATAAACCAATGAGATAACAACAAGTGGTATTGAATAAATAATATTTTTAGTTATACGTATATTTTATTTCATCAAAAAATGTTTTTATTAAAATAGACATTAAGCTTGCCGCTTAACTTTTTTATTATATTTGTTTAGTGATATTTCTCATTTAAGGAGTCAGACCAATTTTAAAATATGCTTCGTGAATAATAGGTAATGAATTCCATAGAATCTTCGAGAATAAAACTTAAGTGGAATATATTAAGTTAACCACAACTAAGCGAATATGAAACAGTCTCTTAATGTTATATTTCGACTACAGTAATAAGCTGATCCACTAGCTGCCATCTACTGATACTAATCCTCTCATAGATGTCATTCCTGTGGCTTGTCATGTCTTCATACTTTTTAATTTAACTGCTGCATTTCAAATTTCATTTCAAGTTGCAAAGCAAATACTAACGCAGATGAATATGATCTGGAATAAAGTATAGAAAGAATGTGCCGATTAATTCCATCCATTTACAATAAACAAGCTTTGAGCGCGGTTTTGCCCCCGTGAAATTAATAGCCTATATGTCATTCTATATCTTAATAATTAATAATATAAACGCGAAAGTTTATGAATATGGATAGATAGATGGATCGATGGATGTCTTTTACTCTTTCATGCAAAAACTATTGAACCGATAATATAGTCTATACACCAGAATATCATATAGGCTATAAATTTCATACAGATGAAACTAATGGGGCAACTAGTAAACTATATTATTGTAAATTTTTAAATATTAAGAAACATCCATCCATCAACGCATACAAACTTTCCGTTTATAATATTAGTAAGTTAATACATATATAAACAAACTACGCTATTTTCGTGTTTATTACTAGACACAATTACAAATGTCAACCGTCACGGTCAGAGCTCGACATTTGGCATTTTTTGGCCTATTGATTCCGAAACTAACAGGGTTGATTTCAGCATATATGACAGTCATGTTATATATAATACATATTAATATTAAAAATTCGAAATTGTATCTGTCTATATATTGTCTATTTACGATTAAACGAATTTTAATGATAATTGACATTGGTACGTGTTGATGCGGCTCGAATGCTCAGATGGTAGGTGATGTTGCGGCTCGAATGATAGATTTCGCTTGATTTCTTGAATTTAATTGGTAAATACTATTATAAATTACAAATTAGGATGAGTGAACAAATTGTACGTTAGATTGATCGGTTGGTATTTTTAAGTCTGTACGATACGTTGCTTATTAAAATTACATTATTTAAATTGGATGGGTGTGCGCTCCAATCAGAACGCTCCCTTTGTGTTGCTGCTTGTACCCGACAGACATGAAAATAAATCTATCTTCATATAACACGAAGACAGACAAGGCCTATCTATCCTTTATCTCCTAAAAATATGTACTAGGTGGAAAATAGGAGTTGAAGGTTTGTGCAATCAAAGTAACGAGTATGAGATAGTATACAATAAGATCCACGGAAAGACTTATGGAGCGGTTGAAGGCCAACTCCTACCTGACGGATACGACTTTAGACTGAGGGCACCGCAAGGAGTCGGAACCTGAACCTGCACCGGCTCATGCGACCATAATTTCGATTTCCCTTCGAATCGGAGGGGGTCGCAGGAGAGCATCATGGACTAAGAGTTTATTATTCCCACTTAAGTCCTCAAAAAATGTGTTAATTTAACTTCTGACTATTTCTATGATGATAGAAAGCAAATCAAACAAACCAAATTAATCATATACACGGCACTATGCTCACATTTATTATTGTTGTATTGGATTACTGTTGGACTTGCACCACGACCTCGAAAGTAAACAATTACTCTGACTACTCCATCAAGAATTACCGTCGTGAAGTATAACAGAACATAAGACAATAGAACGAAATTAGAATCCGTAAGCAAATTTAAATCTGCTTTTAAAAGTAATCGAAAATATTGGCTGTATGTTTATTTACATTATACCGAGATCGACGAAAATGTAAACAACTTAATCGGGTGTATTCGATAATCCTCGTTAGTTGATCGTTACTCGTCATTCGATTTCATATCGAATATTTGGAGGGCGAAAAATCGTGTCATAATAATTGAATTCGGCTGACCGTGAACTTTGTTATTACAAACTTTTATGTAACTTGTTAGTATATTTAGGTCAAGTTATCGCTTGTGTTTGACAATTCCCGTCATCGGATTTTATCTGACTTCACTATGACGACGACTTCTTGAATATATGTACTTAGATTTTAATAAAGCTTCATATTTAAATATTATGATTTTTTATATAGCTATGGTGGCAATCAAGCATTTGACCCGTATGACGATAAATGGTTACGGTAGCCTATAGACACCTGATACACGAGGGGTGTCCTTGAAGAATCCTATGCTCTAGAAACTTCGGTAGGTAGTTCATTCCAAAGTAATGATTTTTGATGATTACTTAGTAATACGAAAGATGTAAATGATATCAGATTGCTTGACTTATCTTTTCGAATCTTACAAGGACTGGTTGTTTTTAAAGGGAGACTGCAGGAACCTTGACCTGATAATGTATATATTGATGGCAAGGAGAATAGATTGGGTGTATTTTTAGTGGATGACAATGGAATGGTGCATATCTGCTTCTCACAGAATCGTGCAAAATAAGCACAATTCATATAACGCCATCTAATCATGGGTACTCATGATTATAAATACTTAAATATATATATAATATACATATAAACCACAGGCCGATACTAATTAATCATACTCATGAATACAAATGTTTGAGTGCAAGAAATCGAACCGAACTAAAGGGTTATGCTAAACTGCTAGATCACCACGACTTTTACCGGCTGGGAGAATGAAAAAAGATGGTTTACCATCTGTCTTTATTCTCTCGAACTCTGAAGAATTTAGGTTGTAATCACGATCTTAAAGAATAAGGGACCGAATATAGAGAATGAATGGAACGGTGGATCCACCTACGCTAACGATATACGCCGGCTGAGCACTAGTGGAGGATGTTACAAAGAGCTATAAGTTAAAAGTCAGTTAATCAAATTCGTGAATATTTCAGCAGGCATTAACCACTGTGATTTCCAAAGGAGACTACGTGGAGGTCGATTTTTGTCTGTATTTTTATGTGCTAATCTCAGAAACGACTTAACAAAATTGAGTGCAGTTTTTAGTTATAATGTGGTAAACTTCATTCTAATTTAATTGTGTTTATTCCAATCGTTTGATAAATTTAAGCGGGTACAATCTCTTATTATTATTAATGAAAATGATGAATGTACATGCGCAAGTACGTAGGTATATACATAGCTAATATACAAGTATATCTTGTAAAATATACTAACCACATGAATATAAAGTAGTCTCAGCAATTATATTTCAAACTCTATACACCGAGTCCTTAAGACAATAGTTGAATGGAGTTTGTTCAAAGTTCTAACCGTAAAGGAATAGTATTTTAGTTATCTAAAACTTTCGTACGACCGTCCCAGAAATTCATTTCCTGAACCCGGCCAAATATTGAAAAAGATATCGCGTTTACAATTGAAATGCATTGAACATTCCTACTTGAAGAATATGGTATACGTATGATAACATTTCCTATGCTATTGAAATGGTATTAAATTCAATAAAAATTTTTAATTATTATAAATCTAAAAATTTTTATTTATATAAAATATTTATTTTAAGATTTTTATAGTCTGAACTAACTTTGAACGCTGATTTACGCACATAAAACTTATAGTCTATGTGTAATTCTGATAAGTAAGTAAGTATATGCTCTATTAAAAGCTTTAAAGTTTCATTGAAATCCGTTCAGTATTTTTTACGTGAAAGCATCCATCGTTCTATCTATCCCTCCATAAACACAAACTTTTGCGTTTATACGTGTAAATAAATAGAGAAATTTAATAGTAAAATAGTATATATTTTTTAAAAAGTCTCACTGTATCAATAAAAGCAAGGAAATAGTAGAAGACGTTTTTTCATTATCTTTCAAAATATAAAATTGTAATTACAATGTCTTCTATTCACAAGGGCCATGATATAAATATAATAATAAAGTTGCAACGGGGGATTTTGCTTTAAAATGTAAAATGATACCATTAAAATCCTTACTAATATTACAAATGCAAAAAATAACTATGTCTGTCGGTCTGTCCGTCTCGTTTTCACACCAAAACCACTGAACCGATTTAAATAAAATTTGGTACACAGATATTCTAAACCCTGAGAAAGGACTTACAATACTCTTTAATTGAAAAAAGGTTGTAAGGGGTTGAGAAAGGGAGATGAAAGATTGTACGGAAGCAATTTCATTTATTCGCTAGAAGCTTGATATTTGTTTTAGGCTGTTGTTTAAATATAAATAAATATGACATACACAAAGTTTGTAAAACCTTAAGAGGGTAAAATAAAATAGAGGATGAAAGTTTGTATGCACATTCATCATTTTTGAAGCTAGAATAATGAAACTTTTTTCTTTGGCTTTTTATAATTAGCCTAAATAATTAAAAATGCTATCTAAGCTCACTATTCCACGCGGACGTAGTCGAGGGCACGGCTAGTAGTGGTATAATTATGAATGTTTGCAAAATATGCTAAATTTCATTTAATTACAAGTCTAAAATTCCGAGTACATTCTATTATACATTCTATAATTTGATCCTGTAATTATTGGTATTTTAGATATTCAATGAAATTTAAATTAATATTGAACATAGTTTAATAAATGTTTCATGTTTTAATTTACATACGTTTTTTTTAATTAAACTTATAAGCAGTCAAAGAAATTAAAAAGAAGAATTTGTAATCAGAAACAATATTCGTTTTGGAATAATTTCGATTCATATTAATTGTTTTCATGGTTTTATACTTTGTAATAGCACTAAAATTTGATGGAAAAAGTTTGATTGCTCCAACTTCGTAGTATTATTATAAAAAGCTATGAAGCTGAAGAGATGGCTGACTGCATTAAATATTTTATTAGCGTGACCGTAAGATATTTTTTTTGCTGATTATTTAATCACATAAATCTGTATTCGTTGCTTTTACTTTTTCACCTTGCGGAAAATTAACTGTACCAACAAAGTCTACCCGCAGAGGTAAGTGGTAGAGTCCTGGGGTTTTCACCCATTATATATACCTTCAGACACCTTGTTCTAGACGTGTAGACCGCGAATATACGTCTTTGAGGGGGAAGGGAATTGGTAGTAATGTAGACTAATGAACCCATTGCTATCAATGCACTATGTTAGGTTGATCTACATATGATTGTAACCATCTGGAAACCATCGTAATAAGTTCCTGGTGAATTTGTCACGATGACCTAACTGATCTTATGCTCATCTTATCTTCCTCCACTGGTGCCCCGCCAGCGTAAACCGCCAGTGCAGGCAGATGTACCATTCTTTTATCATCAATAAAAAATATAAGTATTTTATAAATTGAATTTAATATTTTGTTACAGATTATATTTTACTGTGATGCGGCAACTTTCATGGAACAATTAGAACATATTGCGGTAATTAGAAGAAATTGTATTACCTACTAGATTGTAATATTTCAATTATAAAGCATAAATTTTATTGAGTAATAAAGTCCTAGTTTCACATATAAAATTATCATATATGTAAGTATACCGTACATTGTACGATTAAGGTAGACTAATGAAACAGTATTTTTAATGACCTGTAAAAGCAGTATTAAGATCAAATATGAAATCCTAACTCCAATCTTATTTAGAATCAAATTAAGATGTCATTTTAATTTTTCTTATACTCGTATTTAAGGAGAGATCACTAATAATTTTGATATTAACAGATAATAACATAATTTACAATTTATTTATTTCTCCTCACAAACATGGATGACAATAATAAATGTATTTCTTATAACACAATGCTTAAATGTATTATTACAACTAGCATTTGCCCGCGGCTTCGCTCGCATTAATTTATCCCCTTAGGGGTGGAATTTATCAAAATCCTTTCTTAGGGGATGCCTACGTCATAGTAGTGCTTTATGCATGCAAAGTCTCAGCCCGATCGGTTTAAAATTAACAAAATTTCATACAATTTTCATCCCCTATTTTATCCCCTTAATATAATTAATCAAAATCCTTTCTTAGCGTTGATAAATCACTATGTCAGTCACCTTTGAGTTATATATATTTAGATGGATATGCGGTGTCTAAAATAGGTATAATCTGTACGTACAACATGACTATACTTTATAGTCTTAATTAGTATAAAACAAGGTCATTGTTTTCGTCTGTCTATTTCTTCCTTACGTTTTCATATCTACGCAACGTACTATTTTTACATTTACCTAGAGAATTTCTTTCGGAAGGTTTATATTTATATTTCATATATATGGATATGCGACATCCATTACATATACTGTAGATCAGTGCAAAGCAACGGCGTGTTTTTTTTAGTTTGTTAATATAGTTGTATGTTCCAATTCACTTACCCGCATATTTTTTTTTAGAATAGACGTCAAGAAAGCGTAGGAATATCCGACAATAACCTAGTAAGTACCATAAGCGATAAGATCGCCTTGTATCACTTAATGTATATTTACAATTTTAATTTTTTTGTTCTGTAACTGGTACAATAAAGAGTATAAATAAACAAAAAAAGTTATACCATTCCATTTTAATTTTATTCAATACTTTTTCTTTGGAAACCTTTTTATAACTAGAGGAGATTCAATTATGGTAAAGATGTATCCGGCATAATCGGAGCACCATCGAGACCAAATCACCTACCAGAAGCGGAACCAATACTACCTGGTCACACACTCATAAGACCAGCTCTTGGAATGTTGAAATCATCTGTCAAGTTCCCTCATAAAGATTCTGATAATGGAGCAGGCGTATATGGAAATATCAATAATTTAGGAATCAGGTAAGTCTAAAATAATTATATTAAAAATCAATAACATCGGACAATGAGTCCGATATTACTGATCCCAAGCAAAGCTGAGCTTGTAGAAAACCGGCAATTTATAATATATGTACTTGTATATTTGTATTCATTTTCATTATTATATATATATTATATAAAAAAACTATGTGTATAATGCATAGATTTTTTATATAATATACGTAGAAACAAGGCTCAAACTTCAAATCTACTTAATCAAATTTTGCAAACTTAAAATACTACAGAGACCCACATCAAGGGACCTTGACCGAGTCAACTGGTCTAGATTCATAATATTTGCACAATACAAGGATAGAACTCAAGACCACGATAAGTAAAGAGTTATGATGAACCACTACATCACTGAGGTCAGGATATGAAAAATATATACACATTCAGACGATGTTTCTTGAAGAAACTACTCGCGCTGAATTTATTATAGCCTTATTTCATGTTTTTGTTGTCTCTATGATAAAACTGAATTACTTTACTTCATATTTTATTTACTGCGTTATATAATCTTATTTTCCTTAAATCAAAAAACCGAAGTCTTTGTGAAACAGGAAAATTGTTATATATTTTTTTTCTGTTGGCTTAGTGACATTGGAGGAAAAAAAACTTTTTTATTAAACGTTTCACAAAGTTATAATAAAATATTTTTTACAATTCTTTTATCAATTCCTAGAAATACAGCAATGGTAATTGTGAAATTACAATATGCATTAATATATTTTAAACTAGCTGTGCTCGTGACATTTGTAGCCTATGTGTTATTCTGATGTATAAGCTACGAGTATACTATAAAATTTCAACCAAATTGGTTCAGTAGTAGCGTGAAATAATCAAACAAACACCCGTCATTTGACTGCCTCGGTGATCCGTGGGTATGGCATACCGTTTTACTTCGGATGTTCGTTTAAACTGTCATAATAATAATATCTCTGAACAGCGCACCGCGTCATTTAATCCTAAGTTAAGCAGAGCTTGTGTTGTGGTACTGGACAACTTATATAAATACATAGATACATTTTGTAAATACCATACATACGTAATATATATAGAAAACATCCAGACCAGTACATATAAATAGTTTGCATGTAGTACCACTGATTTTTAATCATAACACCGCTATACAACACCGATAACTTGTAAGAAAAGTTCTTTATTTCTAGGTACGATGGAAAAAATGAAAGAGTTTTATACTCAGGTTTCCGAAGAACTCCAGATCCAACTCCAGATTATATTATGGTTTGTTTGAACACAGTATTTATTGTTTTTTTATGTAAATTGAATGGCAAACAAACTGATGGCCCGCCTGATGGTAAGATAACTTTAACATGTATCCATATCCATAGTAACACTCATGCGTAATTTCTAAATAAGCTTATCCTTTTTTATTATTATTGTTATTTATTATCTACAATGATTGAGGATTTGTCACTAAACATTACACATATACAGTATGTACCTACATACTTATTCTAAAATACAAATTACTCTGTAAGTAAATCGTAAATTTTAAAACATTTTAAAAAAACCGGCCGAAATTCTCAAGATTTTTCGTCCTGAGAAGTGACTATAACTACATATATTTAATAATTATGATTGTTGTGTATTGAACCTACGAAATCTGGATAACAACTGCTTTATTCATAATATGTAGATACTTAAATAAAAACTAAGAAGTAACAATATAAACACAATAAAGTTATGAATTAATAATAATTAACAAGTCTACGTTCCGTATTCTATTTGTTTAATCCATCAAAAAATAAAATAGGTAAATTAATATTTTTTTAGATAATCCTAAGAACAGATACAGAGCGGATACAGCCATCGAGACCTGAGTGGGTATTGTTTACTCTATATTTTTATTTTGAACTTGCTAGTGTGATATTTTCCCCGTTTTTGCAACATTTTTCATTGCAGTTCCACTCTATTGGACGTAGTGTGATGTTATATAGACTTCGTTAGTAAATGGGTAACACTAAATGAGTTTTTATCTCGGATAAAATGATTCAATAGACTTTATAAACTTAGTAGAACCAAAAACAATTTTATTTGCGATTGTGAATAGCCATTAGATATTTCTTAAAAATAAAATGCATCAGTTTGAAATTGGAACGTCGAACATAAGTTATTGATATGATATTGTTTTGTTTTTTTTTTTTATAAACTAGATACATACTCTTCTAGTACATTCCATAGCATCACCAAAACATTTTTTATTATTATTACCTTGTCTTTGGAACTGCATCGTTTGTTAGAATTTATGTCTATTTCTCTGTGCGTTTGTGCACGTTAATTTCAGAAACTTCTTAACAAACATGAATGCGGGTTTCAAATTGAGTTTTTGTTGTATTCCAGTCGATTAATGAACAAAATTGTTATACGGGTACGAATTTGCATGTTATTTATAAATATTATTACATAATCATCAACTTACAATATTCTATTCTATAGTAAATATATAAATGAAACAATAAATATAATCAAAACATCTATGACTGGCGTCATGTTCCAGTTTCGCACAGGTGGACTATTTTACACCTTGAATTATATTACTGAAGTTTTAGAAGAGATCCCTCATTTTCTTCTACTATTAAATATAGCCATGTTATTCAAAGATTATGTGACATTTGTATTTTTGATAATGACTAATGGAAATGCAAGAATTTTGTAATTCGCTTCATTCTTTATGTTTGTTACAAAATTACAAATCTTTCCACTGTTAATATTAGTATAGAAAACAACATTCACAGTATAACAACATACAAATATACTAATAGTATTATTTAATTACAGGATTATTTTACTACCGGTTATATTTGTAAGTATACAATTATTATATTATATAACAAACTTATGTTCTACATTCATAATATTGTTAAGGAAATAAGTAAATAATTTTGATACATGTAAGCATAGCATTTTCAATTCGTTCCAAATACAAAGAAGATTTAAAGAGTGATATTTGACGGGAAATTGATTAATGTATTTCATACTCGTATCTACAGTAAAAATTCTCGTTCCAGGAACAAAATGGCCGAAGGCCGTCAAAAAATAAGTTGACGAAGACACATAAAAATAAACGGTATAATAATGTATTTTATATTCAATTTGAATATCATAATAGCTATTTAACACTGCTTAATATAATAGAAAAGAGAATTCCTATTAGAGATAGGAATTCTCTTTTCTATTGTATTCCTATTTCTAGTAACTCATTAGCAATACTTAGCTGCTATTTGGAGCATATAATTATAGGACGTTAATACTGACACCACATACAGCTATAATGCACTCGTCATGCTACTGCGACTGTGCCCCGCGCCGTGGTATATTGTGCATCTGTGGTGCTTTACTTATGCGCGGGAAAATAAAATTGACTATTTAATGAATTCTTCTGCAATCATACTATTTTGTTGTGTTCTTCAACATAACAAAATATGTATTTAATATTATGTATGTTACTTTTAATACATATTAACCTAATACATCAACCAGACTGTTATTACCTCTACTAACACAAGGTAAGAAAGGCATTACACCTAATAGTCGGTTCAATCAAATTTAATCCTCATTTAATTCTCCTCTTTTAGGATTTCAAGTACTAATAAATATGCATGTAAAATATTAATTATTTGTTAATTTACAGAAAAGTGAAGGCTTTTTCATCCATACCCGTAAATAAACCTTACGTAAGTTGATATATGGTTTATTCTAACCTATTTCACATTTTTTATACTTTCTATAACACTATATGTTAATTAAATTATATTTTTAAATAAAAAAACTCTATAACTTTTATTTTTATTATAGAATTAAATTTAGAATAATGTGTAAAATTTTCAGAGTTCCAATAAATATTATGGCATAAGTCAGTTTTTTAGGTAAATATGCGTACTTAGTATTATTGTTTAGATTTTATAACACAAAAAGATAATATAGAGGAAAAACTTTGTGAAATTTATAAGGATATATTAATATTGTTATAAAAAGCGAAATATGGATTTTTGTGTGTGAGTTTCTTTGTATGCAAAGCACAAACTCTAGTCAAAAACCAAATTATCAACTTGTAATTTATATTTTATTCTTTACCAGTAGTGCCTTAGAAGTTTAGTCAGCTTTCATACTAGAGGTAGACTGTAAAACTGCTTCACGTATTTATATATAGATAGAACTGATTTTTATAAAGGGAAATGGGATTGTTAGTAATGTAGATTAATATCCACATTAGCTATGTACCACGTCAGGTTGATCTCCACGCGGTTCCTCTGGAAAACACCATGTTAAATTCCCGGTAAATTTGTCATGATGGCTGACTGACTGACTTCATGCTTTTTTTATCATCCTCCACTGATGCCCCGCCAGCGAAAACCGGACCATTATCAGATTTTTATTTAAATAAGAAAATATGTATTTAATGAATGTGATATATACTTTATTATATCATTTTATATCTCTATATTTACGCTTTATATAACGTTGTCTGCCTCAGTCTCACCTATTTCAGCCGCCAAACAGCTTGCCCGCCAAGCAGCTTGCTTTGTAAGCTATATATCGGTTACAAGGTACAGTTAGGCAGTAAAGTTACAGGTTAGGTGACATGACTTTGTCTGGAATGTCAACGCATGAGTGCTATCACTAGTTTTACATAATAACGTGATATCCGTAGTACAGTTCATGTATATAAGCGACGGTTACCACTTACCATCAAGTGACAAAAAAATAAAATTTACATTTGTATATAATGGGGTTACTAGATGGTATAAAATCACAATTAGACCCAGTATTCTTGGTCCTCAACATTTATCATATAAAAATGATAAAATATTAATTTGTAACATTCCTTCTTTCATATTTTTATAGTTTTTGTTTTTAATTTCATTCTAACATATTAAATACAGTGAAAAGACTTCAAATTTCTACTAAAGCCGGTCACTGTCCTCCCTAATAGGCTTTATTCAGTGAATTTTAACGTTTCTTCAAAAAGTAATTCATTGAACAATAATTAAACTTTATGCTCACTCCTTTGAAAGTTTTAATAAGCTTTTTTAAACGATATCTACTTAAATTATCAAATTAGAACTAGGTATTAAATAGTTTCAAATATAATTAATACATCTTTATATTTAACTTTGGAAAATTAAATTCTAATTTAAAAAAAAATTTATTCTTCATTTAAAATACCTAGTCATTTTTTTTATTATATCACTATTAGGAGACCCAAGTCCTAGTCCCTAAAATATGGTCGAGCGCAGTGATGACTGGCTCATCCGTTATACTCGTAAACGGGTGCTGCTTATAGGAACTGGTCTGCTCTTATCACTATGACTGATTTAATCTTATTGTGTTTTTGTATTTGACCCTAATAAATTAGTGCATGTTGGTAGCTTGTATCCACACGTTTCGACTTATAAAATATAAACTTACAAGGATTATTTAAAAGAACACACAAGTTTATTGCTAATTCTTCTTGTGATGAAACAGCTTTCAAAATGAGCGGTAGATTAAAAAAAATGTTATGACTATTCAAAAGTGCTTAAATTAAGTTTATTTGAATAAATGATTTTCTATTCTATTCTAGTTATGTGATATTTAAATTTATAAATCACAAAGGTTTATCAAATTTAAAGTATTCGTTTTCAGATCTCCTAATGAAGGTGTAAGTATAGAACCTATATTAAAATATCTGCTGGTAATAATGAAATAAAAATGTCATAGTGATTTAGAAGTTTACTAATCCGACATATTGAACATAGAGATCGTAAGTTCAATTCTTACTGACAACATAAACATTGTATCGATGTATATTTCTTGCTAATTGGGCTGTCATGAAAATTTTAATCCGTTCAGAAAAACCTTCACCACAAGAATTTTTGTGTTTATATTTACACTAGCTACTCGCTCCGGCTTTGCACGGGTGTACATTTATTATACATATAAACCTTCCTCTTGAATCACTCGATCTATTAAAATAAAAACGCTTCAAAATTCGTTGCGTAGTTTTAAAAATTTAAGCATATATAGGAACGGACAGACCGCGACTGCGGCTTTATTTTATACTTTACTTTATGTAGTGATGATTTCGAACTGATTCTTCTGTAACGAAAACTGTCTTAACAATCTATATAATGTGTCAATTTTTTTATAATATGTTAATATGTTTAAGGTAATATATTTCATATAATCTATATAAAATATTTTACCTATATAGAAATATGCATGTTCGGCGAGTAACACGGTTTTTTTTTAATTAGAGAAACCTACAACGCTTCTGATCGTACGACCCGGACGGGTTGTTAGTTTTAAAATAATATTAGTTACATAATAATATACAATATAATTACAGAGCCGTTCCTCGAACTGGAATAATTTGTTCAAAGAAATATTATTAATGAATCGCGAAAAAAACGCGAAGGAAAATATAATGTTAAGAACTGAAAGTAGGGAATTGAAATCGATCGAAAAACCTCTGGAATTGAACGAAGGGTTGTTGGGTGAAATTAATTCGGATGGAAAGGAGAACAAACAGCAATGGTTCTGGAATTCTAAGGTACCTACAATTATATTAAAGAATAAGAGTATAACCTTCTTCTTAACTAGTTATATCTGCCGACTTCGGCCATGTGATGTATAAACGCTATCGGTGAGAATCAAAGGACAACAACTACACAACTAGTACTATTGTATTAATAAATAAAATAGTAGGTGATATCTAGAAAATATTCGAAATTATTAATTATTTGGCAATATATATCATTATATATTTATATATATTTAATAAAGTATATAAATTTTCTCCGCTTTACTTTTAGTCTACATATTGACCCATATTAAACAACATATTCTAAGTGTCTTATCCTAGTTTTTTATTTCGTTTTACGTTAAACCTGAACAGGTAGTTTACGCAATGTCACGATTTACAATATTATTATATAGAATACGTAAGGATAAATATCATACAATTTTTTTCAATCATTTTTACGTGAAACTTGATTATTCATTTCAATTATTTACCCATTAAATTAGTTTAAATATTTGCAATCCATACTAATATTATGAATTCAAAACTGGGTCTCTCTGTTTGTCTCTCGGCTGACTGGATCTTAAGAAAATTTTTAGAACACAGATTGTATTAGGACGACAATGATCTTTTATCTCAAAAAAGGAGACGATATCGCGATTAACACCTAGCTGATTGATAATTTCAGGACGCATTCACAAACATTAAAATTAACCAAGACGCTCCTGAACTATCCGAGTTGATCCCGCCTAATACAACCCAAAAATTACGACAGTGGTGGTTTTATCATCAGGTAATCATAATCTGGATATTATCAAATAAATAAACAGAGATCATCGTGATTCAGTGGTTAATCGACCAGCATTATAGACCTCAGGGATCGTGAGATCTAAGTAGCAATGAGTTTAATATCAAAGTCGATTTTAAACTATTATTTCGAAACGTAATCAAGGTCAAACTGACTATTCACTTTTTTCTCCACGAAGTATAAAATAATTGGGCTTCGCGCGGTTGTACATGTATTATATATATAAACCTTTCTCTTGAATCACTCTATATAATAAAAAACCCCGCTTCAAGATGGGTTGCGTAGTTTTAAAGATTTAAGCATACATAGGGACAGACAGCGATAGCGACTTTGTTTTGTTATACTAAGTAATAATAATATAATTACAAGGTATAAAATGGCCCACAAGCTGACGGATCACTTTAAGTTAATGTAATTTATTTTTATTCTCCATAACGTAATCATCAATAAAGTAGATATTTTCTTCTTGCAGGAAGATTATAAGCCATTTGCTGAAGACTGATTACTGCTATTGTCAACAGTAGTATTAAAATAATTTATTATATTGTTGTTTTTTTATTTATCAGAACTTTTATAAAGAGTAAACATTCTGTTTATAATGTATGAACTCATAGCCTCTAGTTGTAAAATAGTACTTTCCTGGTGCGACGTCAAGTCACGTGAAGGTGAGGGTTAGTCTCACAAATGTGACCAGCTATGATAATAACGGGGAAGGGACTTAAAGAGAAAGGAACTTCTTAGAATTCCATGGATTATGGATTCATCACGCGGAAGCTGGGTCCAACGTGTGACAAAGAGGGAAACTCCGAGCAGTTCCCGGGAATGGTTACACCCGTGTGTAGGGGGCCCTTGTTGACATAAGTTGACGTGTGTTGAACTCGTGTATCTCTCCCTGCCTAACTAAATTTGAAAGAAGCCTGTCTATTCAGCTGTACTATTGTAGCTGTATATTCTAGTCTAGAACTTACTGCAGTTGTAGAAGATTGTAGAGAGATTTCGCTGATATAACTATTGCTCCTACCTCGACCGCAAATTTAATCAGCCATTTTAGTTCATTCGTTTATTAGTTTAATTAAATTAGTTCACACTAATATTATATGACTGTCCTTATATATGTAAACCTATACTTGTAGGTAGATTGTAACAATAGCCTAGTTTTTTATCTTATCAAATCTGTTTACAAGTTAATTCTTATTTTACATGAATGACGACACCAGATTACTGACTATTATGAAATCTTACGAACCTACATTATCTACTAGATTGAAAATTTAGTTAATTTTGTATGGGATATAGATTTTATTTCAGGTTAAAAAAAATCTTTTGTTAAATCTCTGAAACCTTGTATTGGATCTTATGTACCTATTGGATTGTAAGATATTGTTTTTTAATAAATAAACATATTAATGGATGCAGGAATTTTAAAAATCCTAAAAATTATTGATATTTTCCAGTCTAATGTGGCAGGGGCGAGCCTACTACTATCAGATTATTGATGTTTACATAAGCGGAGAGTTAGTCAGGAAAATTAATTAAAATATTTTTTTTTATGTCGGCTAGATTTGTACTTACTACCTACAACGGTCTGAATATAAAAAAAATGTAAAACACAATACTATCTAAGAACGTCAATGGACGGCATCATAGTTAGAAAGACCTACATTCAAGAGACTTTTAACATTTTATCCCTGAATACATAGGTAATTATAGGTTTCACTGAAAAGTAAACAAGAACATGTGAAAACGGAGTAGAAATTTTCTAGCCATGATTCATGCGTGCCTCATAGCGCCATCTATCCAGTGAGCGTATACTAATAAACACTTAAAGTTAGCTTATACACTACGAGATGAAGGTAGGAAAAGTTTGGTCTGCATGTTTATAGATGGCGCTGAATATATTGTTTCAATATATAAGTACGGAAAAACTGAAAAATTAAGTTTTTATACCCCTGAAAATCAACGTGATAAACATTACTTCATGCTCATCTTATCATTCTTCATTGGTGCGTTTACTTTTACCCTAGCATAAACCGGTAGCGCGGGTTTTAAAGCAGCAAGGAACAAGGACATTGTCGACTATATCTAGTCCAAGAATAATCTAAAAATGAGGGTGACGCAGCTAAAATCGAGTCACAACATGAACTTCAAAACGTTTATGGCCCGGGTCCCCAGGGTTCATGATTTCTCGAGCTTTTCAATTTCTCGGGTCTCGAGAATTCTCGAGGTTAATTTCTCGGGTCTTCTCGGGTTGTCGAGAAATTTACATTTACGTACGTTTGGTTTATTTTTTATTCCAATAACGTCAAAAAACTCAGTGGTTTCATTTGAGACGAAAACCACTGCATTTTTTGTTAAATATTAATTATAAAATTTAACTATAAAATTAATTATAAAACTTTTATTGAGTAGGTATATTTAAAAACATTATACATATTATGAATAAGCCATTTTTTTTTAAATACTGAAATATATTAGGTTCTTAAATATGAAATTAGCGTTTTGTCGTACTGGCCACTTTGATCTTAAATATCTCCTCTTTGGTTAGAAATTTCAATTTCAAATTTATACGGCTATTCACTCATGCATTTGTTTTTCGAAAACCGTAATACATGTGCTTGGTTTTTTCTTTGGGTCACTCAGCTTACAAAATGGAAAACTTAAAATATCGCGTCATTTACAAGTACAAGTACGAGTTCCGCCATGGCACTAATGCTGCAGAAACGGCTCGAAGGATTAATGATGTATATGGTGGTGGTGTCGCAAAAGAAAACACAATGCATTGTTGGTTGCAACGTTTTCGTTCTGGAAATTTCGACCTGCAAAACAATCCCCGTGGGCGGCTGGAGTCCAAGGTTGGTAACTATGATAGCAGATCCATCGCAAACCACGTCAGAGTTAGGGTGTTAGTGACAAAACTGTATTAATCCACTTGTAGCAAATTGGGAGGGTGAAAAAGCTTAAAAGGTGGGTCCCTCTAGGATTGAGTAGACAATTCGCGTTTCGATCGACAAACTCGCGTAGACTGCTGCGTTACATTAGTCAACCGGCATAATAATAAAGGGATTTTAAATCGAACCTGTGATGATGTGGATCTTGTATTATAATTGGAAATGCTCATCGCAATGGCTGAACCCTGGCAAACCAACCAAATCCTGCCCCAAGCGAAAATTGACCCAAAAAAAGTTACTTGCGAGCGTTTAGTGGACTAGTTCCGGTGTTGTTCACTTCAGCTTTCTTAAATCTGGCCAGATGATTACGGCAGATGTGTGTTGTCAGCAATTGAGAAACCATAATGGAAAAGCTAGCTGCTAAACAACCGAGGCTGGTCAATCGCCGTAGGCTACTGCAGCTTCAGTACAACGCTAGACCACACACTGCACAACTGACATTTACCAAATTAGAAGAGATTCAATTGTAATGTCTAAGACTTTACAATTGCTCCCCGGATCTTGCTCCAACAGATTACCATTTTTTTCAAAATTTGGATAACTGATTGGGAAAAAATTCAAATCCGATGAGGCAGTCCAAAGTACAAAGATTTTATTGATATGTCCAAATGTTCCCGTTCAAATGTTTTTTTCAGTAAAGGGATCAATGAAGTACCTATGAGATGGCAAAAGTGCATAAATAGCAATGGTACATAGTTTGATTAAATAAACATGTTATATTTTGAAAACAAATACTTCCCTTACAAAACACCACATTCATATTTTAGGACCTAATATTATTCAGACTTATATTTATAATGACAGCACCATTTTTGGCTGGTTATTTAGAAAAAATCTACCTTAAACTTGTAAACAAAAATAGTTTCTGTAAAACAAAAAAAAAATACATGAAAGAAAACCTTAATATCTTGTATTATTGTGCCGCCACGCAATACAACAAACGTCAATTTAATTTCTATATTGATTTCTCGAGTTCTCGACTTTTCTCGAGCTTGATTTCCCGGGAACAGAACCCAAGGATTTCCCGGGAATTCTCGACCCGAGAATTCCCGGGAATGAACCCTAGTCCCCACTAACATGTTGTCCACCATCGTGAACAACTAGGTACTTGCTGAAAGGAGTGGTGTAAAGGTGCTACATTGGCAAAAATTGCCGTCATCAGTGCCATGTTCACGATTTATTATATATATATATTTATTTATAATATTATCTTATATATAAAATTCTCGTGTCACAGTTTTCGTTCCCAGACTCCTCCGAAACGGCTTGACCGATTCTCATGAAATTTTGTGAGCGTATTGAGTAGGTCTGAGAATCGGCCAACATCTGTTTTTCATCCACCTAAATGTTAGGGGTATTCCACCCATAAATTATTTTATTTTATTTTAAGGCAAAACAACGTTTGCCGGGACAGCTAGTTACATATATATGTTAGTCTCTAAGGTATTTACAAATAGGGCACAATAATAATATATATAATATAATAATAATAAGGTATTTACATTATAAATAAATAAATAAAATATCGATTGACTTACACGTTACTTACGGTTTTATTTCTTATTTTTAATGTATATTGAATTATAATTGAAAATAATAGAACGGTAGCGGTTAACCAGTAGAGTATGACCGGATAAGCGTCGATACATTTAGGTCTATTATCCCATCAATGATTAACCACCAAGAAATAACCACGATGACTTCCTGGAAGGACCGCGAGAAGATTAACCTTTCATGGTAATTGCTAACAACGGGATCAAAATCCCCACTACTAACCTCCCTGTTTATGATATTAATCTGTCCTAAGACTCATTCTAACGGTGATCAAAATTATGAATGGCATAAATTGAGGTTAGAACCTTAGTGCTGCCCTGACTTCGTAATATAAGCCCTCTTAAGGATTTAAAGGGCACTCTCCCCCATTTTTGTCCCCATTACCCCAGTGAAGCTGTTCAATGGAGGAAAGAGGTCAGGTACAGCAAATAGGATTATAAGAGTTCGATAAAACATATTACTATGATATTCAATGTTTACTCACTATATATAGATATACGTATTTATATATATCACAGCTACTCAAGTAATAGGTACATGATATTCCGTCTTTCAAATGGAAAAAATATTAAAATGTTTGTATTATTAATATTATCTTAAGTTAATGATATTAAAGATACCATTATAAAGTCTGATAAAATATTACATTTCATCGTTTTTATGATTATTACAGATACGTAACACATTATAGACCAATACGATGTAATCTTTTAGATTCAAATAACCATTAATACTACTTGCGAAATAATAACACAACCAACCATTTCAAGTGTCGATATTAATACAATTATAGTCACTCCTCAACAGATTATGCCTGGCAGACACATGAGTAAATAAGGATACAGAGAAACTCGGGCCATAGAGTAGATAAATAAAACAGATTATAAACTTTATTTCTGATTATAAGCGTAATGTGAAAGCAGTGTTACACTAAGTGATTACATTAGTTTGAAATCTCACCAAAACTGTAAAAGTTCACTTTTTAAAATCATTAGGATCATTAAAATTAAAATAATAATCATCACCGAGAATTCGCAGCTGCTAAAGTTATTTGAGTTAATTAACGTTGCAAAATTGCAGAGATCTAACTATGAGGTCTTTGTCTTTAGAAAATAAAAGCAGTAGAATAAAACATACAATTTAAAAGGGAAATGACATTATTCATATATGCAAACACACGGTAAAGAGTGAAAAAATGTAGTTAAATGCAATCATTCACGATTACGCGTTGTTTTTCCCGCGCTAAATGCGCGCACTGCGTGAAAAAACATGTTGTATAAAGGTGTACCTTATAGTCTAGTATTGTTCTTTTTTATCTCATCTCTTACCTCTGAATTTTTCACTAAACACAAGCAACAACTGTTAAGAAACTTGGCAACTAGCACAGTTTTACGTCTAAGTCATATTTTGTTTATGTTATCATTGAAATATAATTGACATAAGAATACGATATAGAAAAATATAATAAATTTTCAGTCTATATATTTATATGCTCAGGAATCATGTAAAGTTATGACGGAAAACATTCTCTATGCCTAAACATTTGAATACATTTTCGCACGCTACTCGACATTGACAGAGTAGGCAATTAAAGCGGTAGATAAGGAGGATTTTGTATTGCGTGATACATCGTTTAATAAATAAATAATCTGTTTGTATCTACAGTCTACATAGGGTATCCTTTGGTGCCATCAGTTTGTACAAAATGTCTGATATCTTCGAACGTTTCTTTAGTTAATTGAGTTAGAATTAACAATATATATCATATATAATATAACGATACAAACCCCAGTAATTATTATAAAATGAAGAATAAGTATAATAATATTTGTGTTGGGATTTTGACGGTATTATTGATAGCAACTGTAATTTTTGTGGCAGTTTTTTTGACTGTGCATTTAAACAGGTATATGGTTTTATAGTTGTTTTACTTATTTTGTGATATTTTCCTGTTTTATTGTAAATTAGATTAGTGAAATTTTTACTTAATATAATATTAAAATAATGTTGATACAGTAAAGTATATTTTACTTTGCAAATATATACATATTGATAAATGTTAAAGCTAGTTTGATTGTTATCTCATGGCGCTAAAACGACTAAATCAAATATTATGAAATTACGTACCTATTCACATAGTAATTGAGACAAATTATTTTACACTTTAATATTATAGGGATACATTAATTTTATGTTATAATAAATATAATCTGTTACTTTAATTTTATTATAGACTCTTTTATAAATATGAACAATACATAGTAGTAGCGATCCGCAGCAATATAAAAAAATCATAAGCTCAGCGTGGAAGATTGTTATAAGAGAACAAAAACTGATTTTTAGCTTCAACCCAATAGAGGGTACGTGATAATAATAAAAAAGAGCAATAAAAATAACCACTGCATGTGTGGTGTTTCATGGGAAGTGTTTAATAATTGAATAGAAACTTAAAATCGGAGTTTAATTTAGTGTAATTTAAATTAAGTAGCAAAGAATTATCGAGTGAATAGAACAAAAATATGTAATATAAGGAATGCCTATTATTTGTTTTTGTAATAGGTTTAGTTATTTTTTAAAACCGTGTACTAAGTGTGTGTTAAGTGTCTAGATAACAGCGGATTTTGTTCTAACATTTTGTTGTTTGGCTGAAACTGCCTGTGAATGCTATAGTTCGGTCCATTTGCAATTTCCATTTCTATATTTGTCATGTGATGAAGAATTGATTTTTGAGAAAAGATAATCGGGATGTTCATCTTTGCATACCAGCTGTAACTGTCCACGCGATTGCATATTTAAAATGGAAATATAAATAAATACCAATATAGTTTCAAAGGGAAAATGAAAAACAAAAACAATAGTATCTGCCTTTACTCAAGATATTGTTTCACACGCAATCAGAAGCGCTGATTTAGCGCGGGAAAGCCAGCGCGCGCAATCGTGTGTGAATACATTTTATTATGTCTTGTGTGCATTTTATTATTTATTGTGATCACTCTTTCGCTCTTGACAGCCCGAATGTTTCAATTCAATTCACTTTCTTGTAAAATGTATTTTTTATTCCACAGATTTTATTTTCCAGAGACACGTTTTCTAAATTATCAGTAACTCCATAATTATGTTTGTACTCTAGTCAGATCCTCAATTTTGCAATAATAATTAATTATTTAAATAATGCTAAAGTACTCACGATTGAAAATCGAGTGCGCAGTCTTTCTCGTTCTATGTCTACATTTACATACACAATCTTTCTTGCGTGAAAGCCGATTTCCCTGTGATAGAACATACGTGTAAAAACAACTAGTAAGCACGTTGGACACGCTAAGTCCAATATTTGTGGTCCATATATAATTCTCCTTAGTACCCTTCTTATCTTATAGAGACCAATCCTTGCCTCGCATGGGTGAAAAATATATTATAAATGTTGTGCATGTATTGTAAATAAAAAACTTAAATAAGTTTCTCTCCAATTCAAATTCAAAATAGATTCAATATAGAGAAGATTTCGAGATGACAATAACTGACAAGAAACTCAGCTCGTATTCTTTTCAATTGACTAAATAAGAACTGAATCAAATTCTGTTGCATGGAAAGCATGTAAACTACACCTTTGTTTAATACTATTAGAGGGAGACATTGTAATGAATTACATTTTATTTTCAGCGATAATAAAATTAAAGGAGGACCTAAAATATTAATAGATCACGACGGTGGAGCTGATGATGCCATGGCCATATTTATTGCACTATTATACGAACAATACTTTGATGGGTATGTATGAGTTTTAAGATTTTTATGTAGAATTCCAACCCAAATCGTACGAGGATCTTCGTACAAATACGACATTATTAGCCTTTGGTAGGATAGTTTCATCTTTGTACGAATTTATATGAGGTTTTAAGGTTTTTTTTGCACGAGATTAAGGAATATTTTTATTTAAAGGCCTCGGTGATCTGGTGGTTGAGCACACCGATACCGATTCACTACCGATAGTCGCACTCGATTCCTCGCATGGTACAAACATTTGTATTCATTGATGTTATATGATTATTTATATCGATTTGAATATTTTCTATGTATATTACGAGTATACATGTATACATGAGTATACATTTCCAAAAGAATGTATTTAAGTATTTTATTAATTGTCTATTCCCTATAACATATGCTCTGCTTGGCTTGGGAATAAATGACTCACTGTGTAAATATCCTAAAATATTTTTGTTATTAATGCACCAGATAAAGAATAGCATTAAATAAAAAAAAGATATAGTACAAAAGGTAGTATCATAGCTAAGCAATCTATTTCAGACAATCTTTAGAAAGAGTACTTTAGAATGGTAAGAGTAACAGCTCAAAATCATTACATAGTATTAGACGAAGTCGCTGTCGCTTTTTTAATAGATAGAGTGATTCAAGAAAAAGGTTTATATATGTATGTATAATACATGTACACCCATGCGAAAGCGGGGTGGGTAGCTGGTAATATATAAAAATGCAATATATCAATGCCTATATATCCTGTAATTTCACAGATTTCAAGGCAAGCTGTAGAAGTAGATAAGATAGAGAACACATATACATAATACATACGAATGCTGTACTATTATAATGGAATTATACATGCCTCAAAGGCTCTGCATCCCTTTATATTATGTATGTTTCTGTAGAGAAAAAAAATATGAAATTTATAAAAAAAAAATATATTCACATTACAGGCCTGCTGTGGTCGCGTTGACCACCACTTTCGGCAACGTCAACGAAACTCAATCTTTTATTAATAGTCAAAGGATATTAAATATTATTAATAGAATAGATGTAAGTACAATAATTCAATTATTTACTAACTATGCCCGTTTCCACACAGGCAAAATTTATGTCTATATATTATTATATTATTTGTACATAAAATATTTATATTTGTAGTTTATATATTAGTATGGACATATATGTTTATATGTCGGTTCTTTATGTGCAGAAAGCTATTGCATCTACTCAGTAACTATATAAATTAAACAGATGCAAAAAGGTAAATAAATGGTATATTTTTCTTATGTCACAAAATAGCAATTGAAATTATATACATCTTTTTAAAGTAAAAAAATGGTTTTAAGTTGCCAGTGATAAATCATGATGAACAATAGTACATTTATTATACAGCGCATACACTGTATTATTGTGTATTATATAAAAGTTATCTATGGAAGTCATATTGTTTATAAATTAATTAGTCATATTGTTTATAAATTAATTAATCATCGAGTTAGAAATTGCTTCGTGAACTAAAAATAATCAAAATATTTTGATATTTTTTTATTTAAAGTGGTATGTCACTTGCACCCGTTATAATAATAATATAGTTAGTAATAATAGCCAGATTTTGCTTCGTGAAATAAAAATAATCAAAATATGTTGATATTTTTTTGTACACCTGTATGGGTCTGATAGTAATTTCGTTTTCACGGAGTGTATGTTATATTATATACTAGCTGTGCCCGCAGTTTCATTCGCGTGAAATTCATAGCCTATACGTTATTCTTGCGTATAAGCTATATTACTATAACGTTTCCCTAAAATCAGTTCAGTAATTTTTGCGTGAAAGAGTAACAAACATCCATCCGTACTCACATAGTTTCGCGTTTATGATATTAATAAGATTTCAGGTGCCAATATATAGAGGATCGATCCATCCATTGATTTCTGGTATACAGAGTGATTATTACTTTGGTAACGACGGCTTAGGGGATATTGAACATGAATATTTTACAGAAATAAACTCTCAAAGAGAACACGCTGTATCAGCACTTATTGAACTGTCGAAATTATATGAAGGTAATAATAATAATAATTATATCTAATCAGATTTTCGCACGAAATGTATGTGGTCTCTCACATGATAATGGTAGCAGAATTAAACAAAATAAAATAAGTCTATTAATTAATGAAAGAAAAAAAAAGAAACAAAAACAGTGGACGTCTTGTGAGCTGCGATGATGATGAAGATGAAGTAATGAAAGACATGTATGTTAAACCGCTACACCACCATATTTTATTCTTTTATATTCTTATTCTGTTTAAGGTGATCTCACAGTTGTAGCTATCGGTTCTATGACAAATATAGCTCTAGCAATCAAAGTAGACCCTGGTTTCATTGGCAGACTGTCTCATCTCTATGTCGGTGCTGGAAATGTTTATAGTAAGTAAACCATATAAATGAAAGAAATTAAAAAAGAAAAGATCATATAACTTAAGAAATGTGTGACAATATATTTGACGACCTCGGTGGTCTAGCGGTTTAGCACACCGCTTTACGTCCGATGGTCGCGGGTTCGATTCCTCGCACGGCTCAAACATTTGTATTCATGAATATGATTGTTTGTGTCGGTCTGGGTGTTTTTATGTATATTATGTATGTATTTCCAAAAAAAAATATCTATGTATTTTTATCAGTTATCTAGTACCCATAACACAAGCTTTAGCTAGCCTAACTTGGGTCTAGATGGCGCTGTGTGAATTGTCCTGAGATTATTATTATTAATATACCTATAATGCCTATGATGCAGCAAGCGCTTATAAGTTGCTGTAATCACTTATTAATTTATAATATCATGTACGTATACATTATATATGTTTATGGGTCTTAAAATATAATAATGAAAGTGAGTAATGTTCATAATTACCAGATGTGGACTGTAAAAATCGCTGCTTAGGTACCCCAATCTCACCTATTTCAGCCGCCAAGCAGCAGACTTTGTAAGCTGTATTTTGTATGTAGAGTCCGATTAGACAGTGAAATTAGGATAAGAAGTATAGCATTGTAGTGTTCTAGAACGGACCTAGGTACTTGAGTGGTATCATGGGTATCATATGATAATTGTATATTAGCAGATATCGATGTGCGATAACACAAATTCTGCAAAACACATACTGACAAGTATGTTTTTTTATTCAAAACACATAAAACATTCCAGGAAACACATTAGGGTATAGTAAGATTATTTATCTCAGTTAGCTATTTACACCGAGATCAATTACGTATATAAAATTTAGTATTAAATTTATAGTAAGTAAAATTTAGCAAATAGAATTGCAAACAAGATGGCGACCCACCTGATGTAAAGCTTGAATGTGAACTACCTTGAACAGTACCATAGACTTCTCATCGTTACGTGACATACGTTATTCATGATACCGATACGTTATTCACGATACGATACGATACGGAGGCCTAATCGTCAGAACTGGCACGGGCCAGTTCTGACGATTAGGCCACTGTCACTGACACATGTACCTGACATACCACTTTATCATGTTTGTTGTATCCATCATGTGTTATTATTATTCAGGACTAATAATATATCATGCCTCCACAAGTTATAATATCTTTGCCACATTTCGACCTTCCAACAGGTTTTCCTCTTTCAATGCAAATTGCATAGCGGCAAAAACAGGCGTGACAGAGATATATAAACCACTTTGTTAAAGTAATGGTATAAACTAATTAAAATACATTGATGATTTAACAGGTGAAAATGAAACCGAAGCAGAGTTTAACGCAGCAATGGATCCGGAATCTTATTATATTATAACAGATAATCCTGATCCAGAGAAGGTCACTGTAGTACCATTCTCAGAAATACTAACATCGCTTGCAACGAGTATGGTAAATATATTATTTAAATTATTAACCGGGTTTTAACACGAATAATTTTATGGCAAATAAAGGTATTTACCCCTCTCGACGTTTCGACTGCGACAACAGCCGTGGTCACGAGCTGACTGGAGTGACAGCGATGTCAATGTAGCTAGTGCAACCTAGTCGAAGTCGAAACGTCGAGAGAGGTAAATACCTTTATTTGCCATAAAATTATTCGTGTTAAAACCCGGTTAATAATTTAAATAATGTATATTAAACACGAAAGTTTAAAAGTAACTATGATAAATATATTTTAAAATATCTGTACGTACATTCGCCACTATAATATATTATATTTATATAAATTTTCTACCTGTATCTTCAATGTTATATGTAATAACTAAATCATTAACTATTACCACTTAGTATCAGATGGACCAACACCTGATCCTATGTGGTAATATACAGGAAAAGTATCATGAAAGTTACGTTATCATGTGATGTTCATTATACCACTCATGAGTTGAGTTGCCTTTCGTGAGGATTTATACACCATGCCTCCATGCTGTATAATTTCATTTTCCTTCCCTTGGCGTGTGAAATAGGGTAGACAGAGACCCACGCGAACTACATCGTACAAAACTTAAAAAAGAGATATATAATATCATAATATTAATTACATATAAATATATATGTCAATTGTTATACATATGTATAAAAATGCACAACAGTATCTTTTCGGCAAATTAGGAATGAAAAATTTTATGGAAAACATGACCATATAAAAAAAATTGATAATAATATGTTGATTATATTTTCTGCAACAGGAGAATTAGTCAGAAATTTAAATTTATTATATAATTATATTTGGTTAGATTTCAACACGTGATCTTTGTGATCTGAGTTTTTTGCCGTGACACTCTTATAATAATTAATACAAAATTATAAAAATATAATTGAGACTGAATTATAGGCTTTGTTTAGGAATGGCGTGAAAAAGTATTAGGTGCAATTCCAACCAAGACCATTCAAATACTTAATCGGTACGAGACAATAGCTTTAGAGCAGAGTACTTACTGGGCCATGTTGGATCCTGCCGTCATGGCGATTGCATTGAACAGCAGCTTAGTAGAAGAAATTAAATACTCGAACAACAGTATTGTATTATGTGGTAAGTATCATATATTTCTTATGTGATTTTATAATAAGCAAACACTTTATACATACATTCTTAATATTTTTTGCCTCACTTGCTCCTATTTAAGCCAAACAATTAAAAAATATAACTATTTTTGTTGCTTTCAGGTAAAGACAGAGGAATTAATACTAATGAATATCATACAACTTCGGTTAACGGGACTATCCAGTTAGTGTATTCATCCAATAAAGAAGTATACCAAGCATTTCTAGTCGACGTTTTCTCAGCTGAACTTAATACAAGATAATATAAATTTATATTTTACTCATACCTAGAAAATAAAAGTAAACAGAGTGATAAAGTTAAATTTTATTTTTATTTCATAATGATAACAAATGTTTAAGCTGTATATGACAATCCTTTTGCCATTTAATTATAAAAAAAAGAAAATACGTTACTTTTTAATTTTTAATCAAGTATGGTGGGAAAATCACATATTTTTAGTGATAAAGAAAGATTTTATTGCCATTAAACTCAAACTTAAGTGTCATCTAAAGGCAGCCTTTAGGAAGCGGATAGGAACGCGTCGTAAAGGATATTTCCGGGTTTCAGTGTAAAGGCAGCAGTTCCTTTAGGAAGCGGATATGAACATTGTGAATTAGCCATTCAGGTCGTCTGATAGATTTTGAAGTAATGCCACTCGCTACATTGCACTAGGTAGCGGGACGTAGTATTGTCTAGATTCCCATTTCAAAGTAAGAAGCGTGTCGTGACTCTGGGAAGGTTAATGTACGAGTAGATCAATGTCGAAGTTGAAGTCACAGAATTTGGGTACATGAGTATACCCAAATTCCTTGCATCAAGTCAGTCAATATAATGACGGTGTGTGGTGCTAATTTGTGAGTACATTTCATAATATATACTGAAAAGAATAACTAACTTTTAAGGCGACGCATCGGAAATATTGACCTCAGAAACCTTAATTTTTCTCAGCAATTACAAATCCTTCGGGGCTGATATTTAGGTATTTAATTTTTCAGATCTTTGACATCATGTTTACAATTATCGTTACATGATTCATTAACTTTTTGTAGGAGAGAAAAAAATCTCAAAGATTGGTCTTATAAAATATATTTTTGATGCGTATAAGAAAACGGGACTGATTTAAGACCCGAATTTTCCAATATATTATACATTATACTAAATACACACATAAATAGTGTAATTCAGATGTATATAATAAGCAATAGTTTTTATCATCAATAACTAAACTATCATGTTTTACATTCAAATGAAGATTGATAATATTCATCGTCGTCCACGACACGACTTTCGAAATTTGAATTTTTGTGCAATTTATTTGTTATTTGTTTTCGTCTATTAATTTTAACTTCTATGAGTATCAAAATGAATTTCCATAGAAATTAATATTCGATTTATATTTGAAAATTAATAAAAATAAAATTAATTGAATATAGCCTGAAGAGAGGCTTACAGAGGAGTAAATTAAAACCCTGTATACGTAATTTCTTCATTCATTGTATATATTTTTTAATTTGTAAATCTTTGCTGATAAAGCTTCTACTCTTAAGTCTGTCTAAGGACCTCTAGTCTAGCGATTTACCATAGCGACTTTCTCCTAAAGTCGTGTGTTCGATTCCGTGAAATATTTACAAAAGAATGTATTTATGTATTTCTATCAATGGTCTAGTACCCATAAATCTACAAACTGCTTAGCTTGAAACTAGATGGTGCTGTGTGAATTGTGCAGGGTTATTATTAATATTATCGGAACATCTCTAGGTGACTCACTCCGATAATAAATAGAGTTTTGACCGCGGTTCGTATATCGTTAATTTCACACAATACAATAATATTGGTCAGTCTATAAATGGGCCAGTTTCAATAAACACGTATCGTAAATGTTACGCAATTAACTATCATTATGTATTCAACAATATTATGTTATCAATTAATAGTGTTCTTATATGCAAACGTTAATGCGGTCGATTTGTAAGTGAAATAATTATTATTTTTATACACTACATTTTTTTTGTTTATATTTTGGAATTATAAGCGTTCGAGCACCAGAATTTGGTATTGTTCGCGGTACTATTGCCTATATAGGTACTTGCCTGAACAGTATCACAGAGGTAATTGGAAGGACCGTGTTATTTTTTATTTATTACTAACATCAGTCTGCATCACACTTTCCTGACATTTATATGTTACTAGTTGTCCCGACAAACGTTGTTTTGCCTTAAAATAAAAAAAAATTAGGGTTGGACTACCCCTAACATTTAGTGGGATGAAAAATAGATGTTGGCCGATTCTCAGACCTACTCAATACGTTCACAAAATTTCATGAGAATAGGTCAAGCCGTTTCGGAGGAGTATGGGAACGAAAACTGTGACATGTGAATTTTATATATAAGATATACCTAATTTATATTTCGCCCATTTTACATAATATTTTTTTAAATTATATCCTATGTGTTATTCTAATATATAAGCTATATTACTGTAAAGGTTCATAAAGATCCCTTTAGTAGTTTTTGCGTGAAAGAGTAACAAGCATCCATCCATACTCACAAACTTTCGCGTTTATGATATTAGTAAGATATTTTTCGCCTCTGGATACAAGCTTTTTTGAGCCCAACGATTATGTTACATCTTACGTGTTACCTTTACTTCATAGCGGAATGACCGTGTTTTTTTATTTATTATGTTTTACGACTCTGGATACAAATCCTTTTGATCCCAAAGACCGTGTCATATCTTATGTGTATAAGCAAGCAGCTAGAAGCTTACAAAACGTAAGCTGTATTCCGGTTGTAGGGAGAGATTAGGCAGTGAAATATTTTTTATTGTAAAATACACATACTATCTTAATATTGCAAAGCATTTTTGGTATCACGGGGGTCAAATAATAACGTGATGTCAGTAGTGGTTCTGTTCATGTATATAAACGATGACTACCGCTTACGATCAGAAAAGCCCTTAATATGTTTGTCATTCCAGTAATACAAATAAGCTAATGTACAGTTTGTGGTGTATGAATGATTAAAATTTCAGGCTTAATGACAATACAAAAATAATTATTGACAATGATGCGGGCGGTGATGACGCCATGGCTATATTTCTTGCTTTACTATACCAAAAACATTTCAACGGGTAAGTGCAGTTACATATGTTTCTAATTAATAAACAAATAAATATTCCGGCTGGAAAGAAGAAAAGGAAGCGTGGCTGAACTACTGATTAGGCAAGAAAAACATTAGGAAAGGTCCTACCTGTCCTAATGTCCTCGAAAAATATCTGTAATAATAATAATAATCTCAGGACAATTTACACAGCGCCATCTAGACCCAAGTTAAACTAGCTAAAGCTTGTGTTATGGGTACTAGATAACTGATACGAATACATAGATTTTTTTTTCGTAAATGCATACATATTATACATAGAAAATACCCAGACTGATACAAACAATCATACTCATGAATACAAATGTTTGTGCTGTGCGAGGAATCGAACCCGCGACCATCGGACGTAAAGCGGTATGTTAGACCGCTAGACCACCGAGGTCGTCAAAGTATAAAACGTCGATATAGAACCAATGACGATCCAGACAAGTGGTATCTGTAGACTAATACTTAGGAGAGCTGACTCAAATTAGGATGGGACAACGGAAAAGAGAGATAGAGAGAAATCATGTTACAGCTTGTCATTATACATTTATAATGCTAAACAGTTCTTGCTCGGAACGAGTTTATTGGCCGAGAACGGTGATTGTATTACAAAAAGTATAATAGGTACTAGTTGAACTGCCTACTTACGATAATTATATAAATCTTATTACAACGATATATTATAGAAACATAAGTAAAAAGTGTTACGGATTTATTTTATTAACCAACACAAAGAGGATCTTAATGAGGTTCTATTAATAAATGGATTTGGAAAATTCTTCCCTATAGTATATCCTATTATATTCCATAGAAAAGTCATTAAAATAGATTTGATCATTAATGTTTGGTTTGCAAATCAAAGCAACTGGAAATATGACTTTCTGTGGAATTTACAAACACTGGAATAGAACTAGCCATAAAAATCAGTTTTAATGTTGGTTGCACAAATAACAGAATATTGTCGGTACTATTCAATAGTCCATTTTTTTTGTACATAATGAATTGTTAAATTGTATAATATTTGAGTTTTTAAATTCAAATTTTATTGAATTAATGTCAATATCAATTAGTCCAAGTCCATCAAACGTTTGTAATAGTGTCGTAATATTACGAAATCATACATAATATTACCATAGTAAATATCCCGTTTACATAATGTGTACTATAATATTTATTTCAGGCCTGAAGTAGTCGCTCTGACTACAGTAAGTGGGAATACTGCAGAACACAATGTATATAGAAATAATCAGCGAATATTAAAATTAACTAATAGGCAAGACGTAAGTACACTATTTTAGGATATGATGATCTGGCTTAGGTCTTTAACTTTTAAATAGATAGATAGATTATACTTTATTTGTAACTTATACTAAAGAAAAGATATACAATATATTAAAGAACACGTGTATAAGTTTTATTCATTTTATCATCAGGCTAATCATATATTTTTTTTATACAAAATTAGCAGTATAGCCTGATGTTAAAATAAATTTAACATCTGCAAACAAATTTAACATCTATACTGCTAATTTTGTTAGTAAAACAAATTTTCTTATAGCTAATGTTAATAAATCTGAAAATAGTAATAACTAAATCAAGCCGGATTGTATGAACACCAGGCGACCTTACCATTTAGTCAGCATGACACAAACAAAAAAAAACTCTATTTTAAACTACTAAAAGTTTATAATTAAATAAAAACATTTCATTATTATTGCACATTGTTCAATTTGCTTTTATTTCCAGGTACCAATATATAGAGGTGTCAATAATTCACTATTCTCAACATTTAGAGAACGTAATTATTATGGCGAAGACGGCCTGGGCGATACGGGAGATAATTTGACGGATCTGGTTCCAGCTAAATCTCAGGATGCTGTGTCAGCGCTTATTGAACTGTCCAAGATACACGAAGGTGCATATTGTTAATGTTGTATAGAGGTACAATTGGATTTTTGTTTGTTATGCATAAACTCAACAATTACTAAAATAGAAGTAGGTACATATTAAAATTAAATTATAAAAAAATATAAATGCACTTTAAGCGAGTAAAGTAGGACGAATCACACATAGTATAAAACAATGTCGCTGACGCTGTCTGTGCGACCCTAAGCTTAAATCTTTAAAACTAGGGAACGGATTTAGAAGCGGTTTTTAATAGATAGAGTGATTCAAGAGGAAGGTTTATATATATAGTATCCCATCAAAAACATAAATGTGAAATGATAGCCGAGTTTAATATTATGATATATGCCTTGATTGATGACTTCTACGACAAAAGAGATGAGATCTAAATGGGTGCCAAGTTCAATGGTCTGTCCTGAAATGTATTTATAACAATATAAAATATCATTTCTTCTTATAACTTAGGATAATATACTGTAGCCTAAGGTCTAACTTGGCTAGTTTTCATATACGAAATATACTGTAGCCTTCGCAAGTTCTAAACATGTTACTTGTCGGTTCCTATTTTAATATTAATAGTAACTTTTTGGGAAAATCGGGGTGGTATAACGTCCACAGATGGTTGTACTCTACAATAGAGCTCTCGTGACTTGGATCTAAATTGTTAAGACGTACTCCATCTAAGGTTTTAACTCTGGAGAGTCCAACGTAAACCTGCCCTTTATTAAGGGGGTCTTCCTATGTGACGGCCTGTTTTTTAGGGATATTTTAGGATATTTTTTCTACGACCAGTAAATATTTAGAGCTTCAAGTTTTTTATCATTTATTAACACATATTTGGACAGTATAAATATAAAATTTCAGCTAAAAATATTCAGTCAAACTAGAGTTACAGCGCTCTGAACACCCCCGCCTCGAAAAAAAGAGCTCCCACTTCCTCCACGATTCCGGCTGATCGGCTTATCTGAAAAAAAAAAAAAAAAAAACGGCGTTTTAATTTGTAGGCTTAAAAGCACGGAATGACCTATAATCAAATGAATATAAAAAAAATTGGATTTTTGATAGACATTTGAAATAAAAGTTGCAAATTAGGCGTTTTTTTTTTTTGTTTTTTGCTATAAAAAAATCGAAGTTTTGAAAATTTTCGATTGATAATAGTTCATTCCATGCGTTTACATATATTGAGTGTGCCCTGTAAATTTCAAGTAATTCGGTCCAGCCGTTTCTGAGATACAATGGAGGAAAGTTTGAAAAACACAGTTTTGAGAAAAACGCGTTTAAAGTTTCAAGTCCGTTAAAAACTATTAAAATATCAACTTACTCTCAATCGGCGATGCCTGGTCCATAGAGTATTCCTTCCTTTTCCTCGTGAAACTCTTTTAAAGCAGATTGTTCAGCTCTTGAGTCAATCCTGGCTTGTTTAACGACATCACTTACGCGCCGCTCAGAGCGTAAGATTCGCTTTTCATCCCGTTTCTCAACATACGCTTGGGCTTCACGACCAACAGGGCATCCCATAATCGACATAACTTTTAAAATACCTTGAAAACCTTCATTAAAGATAATAACTGCTAAGTAGCTAGCAATTTCAACAACTTTGGGACCAGAATGAAGATGTTTAGGAGCGAAAGTCCAAATCAAAGAATTCAAAGATTCGTTATTGTTTTGTGTCTCTGCTCCTAAACAACGAATTAATAATTCGTCTTTCGATAAATCTTCGAAAACCGGTTTGATAGCTTCTTGGACTTGCAGAATTAGAGGTGGTTTATCGTGATGAAATTGGTCCAGTTCATTATTAGCTTCAGCCTTACGCCATTTACACCAACTGTCTTCGCCTTCTGGACAAAATTGATGCTGAGGGTTTTCATCAGAAGAACATTTGTGATAGTACGTTGCCCAAACTTCCTTTCTCATATCTTCAAGTGAATCTGGATGGCGTCGAATTGCTAATCCGTAGAATTTTGTAATTTCTTGGATAACTTTATCAGTAAGTTTACCTGCTCCTTTTCCTCCTTTTCCTTAATTTCTGTTTAAGTCTGTAGAAACGTGTCTAAACTTGTATAAACAAATATATTAATAAAAGGGAGGCCAGGTATAAAGCCGACGGTACACAATAGGCCCGGTCTCTAACTGCCAACTCACCGCTCCGAACCGCTCTTTCTTTTACCTGCTGTATCTTTAAAACGACTTCGAATTTTCTAAAATCGCTTTACTACCGTATTCTAGACATGTTAAGGGAGCAATTTATGAAAAAAAAAAAAATCGATTTTTTCAACCCATCACATAGTAAGACCCCCTTAAATATAGAGGAGCCTATGTTGAGAAGAGGACTGTCAAAACTAAGGCCTTGTGATTTGTGGATAGCATATGTTAAGCAAATACGGAATTGTTCTCTGTCAACATATACATTATTTAATATCTGAAACTTGGTATTGACACGTTATAGTTCGTAAAGACGATTATGTAACAAATTGACTGTTATCTACTGAATTCTCAAGAAAACAATTTGTTACCAATGAGTTCTCATTCTCGAGTTAACTATACATTCCTTCTTATAACTATACTATAATAAATAGAATAAGAAGAATAAATGATGGCTATGGGCCTATAGTTAGCTGGATCTGAGCGATCTCCCTTCTTAGGGATCGGATGAACCAAAGCCGTCTTCCAAAGTTTCGGGACTACACCTGTAGAGTAGCAGTACCGGAAAAGAGGCGTTAGTACCGGAGCCAACTCAGGTGCACACGTCCTGAGCACAATAGCAGGAATACCGTCAGACCCACTCGACTTGTGGATGTCAAGGGAGAAAAGAGACTTACGTACCAGCTTTTGGGTAAATTTTACCTCCAGAGGTAAAATTTATGTCATTCATTCATCATCATACATGAATTATGAATGAATGATGAATGAAGAATGAAGAATAATTGATGATGCATGAATGATGAATGATGAATGATGAATGATGAATGATGAATGATGAATGATGAATGATGAATGATGAATGATGAATGATGAATGATGAATGATGAATGATGAATGATGAATGATGAATGATGAATGATGAATGATGAATGATGAATGAATGATGAATGATGAATGAATGATGAATGATGAATGAATGATGAATGATGAATGAATGATGAATGATGAATGAATGATGAATGATGAATGCATGATGAATGATGAATGAATGATGAATGATGAATGAATGATGAATGATGAATGAATGATGAATGATGAATGAATGATGAATGATGAATGATGAATGAATGATGAATGATGAATGAATGATGAATGATGAATGAATGATGAATGAATGATGAATGAATGAATGATGAATGATGAATGAATGATGAATGATGAATGAATGATGAATGAATGATGAATGATGAATGAATGATGAATGATGAATGATGAATGATGAATGATGAATGATGAATGAATGATGAATGAATGATGAATGATGAATGATGAATGATGAATGATGAATAATGAATGAAGAATGATGAGTGATGAATGATGAATGATGAATGAATGATGAATGAATGATGAATGAATGATGAATGAATGATGAATGAATGATGAATGAATGATGAATGAATGATGAATGAATGATGAATGAATGATGAATGAATGATGAATGAATGATGAATGAATGATGAATGAATGATGAATGAATGATGAATGAATGATGAATGAATGATGAATGAATGATGAATGAATGATGAATGAATGATGAATGAATGATGAATGAATGATGAATGAATGATGAATGATGAATGATGAATGATGAGTGATGAGTGATGAATGATGAATGATGAATGATGAATGAATGATGAATGAATGATGAATGAATGATGAATGAATGATGAATGAATGATGAATGAATGATGAATGAATGATGAATGAATGATGAATGAATGATGAATGAATGATGAATGAATGATGAAAGAATGATGAATGAATGATGAATGACTGATGAATGAATGATGAATGAATGATGAATGATGAATGAATGATGAATGAATGATGAATGAATGATGAATGAATGATGAATGATGAATTATGAATGACGAATGAATTATGAATTATGAATGACGAATGATGAATGATGAAAGAATGAATGATGAATGATGAATGAATGATGAATGATGAATGAATGATGAAAGAATGAATGATGATTGATGAATGAATGATGAATGAAGAATGAATGATGGATGATGAATGAGAATAAAAATGAAGAATGAATAATGAATGATGACTGAAGAATGAATGATGAAGGAAGGTAGAATGATGAATGAGAATAAAAATGAAGAATGAATATTGATAATGATGATGATGATGATTAAAGGTTATTATACTGGTTTGCATTACAAATACTTAAAAAATAGATGGTACAATATATAAAATTCTGAAAATGAATGATGAATGAATGATGAATGAAAGATGAATGCATGTTGAATGAAAGATGAATGATGAATGAATGATGAATAAATGATGAATGACTGATGAATTAATGATGAATGAATGATGAATGGTGAATGAAGAATGAATGATTAATGAATGGTGAATGATTGAGAATCAAAAATGACAGAAAATGAAGAATGAATATTGATATTGAATAATGAATATTCATTGATGAATATTCATTCTTCATTCTTCATTCTTTAGTCTTCATTATCATTATAATTCCTCATTCTCAATGTTGCTATTCATTCTTCGTTCCCATTCATTCTTCATTCTCATTCAAATATCATTCATTCTTAATTTTCATTCATATATCATTCATTCTTCTTTTAATATTTTATATATTATATATATTATACTATATTATACCATTTTTGAATTTTATATATTGTACCATACTCCTCCGGAGCGGCTTGACCGATTTTTATGAATTTTTATATTTTTTTTTTATAACACGGGACAAACGAGCATGCGGCTCACCTGATGGTAAGTGATTACCGCCGCCCATGTCACCCGCAACACCAGGGGAATTGCAAGTACGTT